TCAAACTGCCCTCTCACCGTTGAGAACAGCATGCTGCAAACAGGTAGGGGTGCTGAAGCGATAAGCTTATCATGCAAGTTTAGGCTACCTTCGTGAAAGGCGAAGGGCATATGAAGGAGCATGCGTCAGCGTTGTGCAAGAAGTGTACAGCGAGGGGGAAAGAAGCGGAATCATCCCCTGGAAAGGTTGTACGAATATAGCCTTCAATATAAGACAGACTGCTTTGTATCATTGAAGTTTTTGAGATCAAGTCTTCGAGATCACTCAGATTAAATCAGAAACAGATGCAGCCTTCACTCCTCTCCCTCATGAGCATGTCGGGAGCTGTTGATACTGGTGTGCGAATCTTCCTCTGTCTATGCACTACCCCTAGGTGCAAAGAATTTCTCGTTGGCTCATTTCTTTCATATACCAATTTAATACCCACAGACAACCCACACTTTCTCTTCCTAGTTGAGACTGCTTTTTTTCTCTCGTTACTTCAACCATTCTCTTCCTTTCACTTCATTTCTCCTTCCCACCTTTCCTTTCTTCTCTTCATTCCTTCACTTTCACATACCCTCATCCATTTGACCTATCATTCTAGTATCACGTCTTTGTCCGCTAGTCATAACTAGCCTTCTTGTTTCTAGGTGGTTCAACAGACTTTAAAAGTTTCTCGAGGCCTACTGGGCTCAAACTGCTTGAAGTATCTTTTTTCTGGACTAGAGATCCCTTTATAGATCCTCTCGTCAGGCAGGTTCACAGCTCTCTACAGAATTTTCCTTGTAGTAGGCGCTGTACCCAAAGGAAGAGCATCCAGTTTTCAACAGCAACAATTCGGAGATAGTTGCATCCTTCCTTACACAAACTGGTTACTCTATTCAGATCCATCCCTACAACATTCATAATGAAAATCTTCCTTGTGTTTTTTTTCATTACAGGACTTTTGTCCGGGGTTCTCAGTTATCCACATGAATCTGTGGATGTCGAATTGCACGGAAGCAAAAATATTGCTCAACTCAATAATGTATGTTTTTTCTCCTCCTAGAAATTGTCATCAGACTACCTGTATTTCAACAACTATTCTTGTAACTGAAATAATATACCCGAGAGTTAATTCAAGATGCTGAGTACGTTTTCATTGAGATATGAGAACCAAGGTGGCTAATATATATGAATACATGTAGGTGACAAAACTCGAAGCTAGCAAAGGTTTCACTGTCACGGTGAAGAAATATGCACTGCCTCCAACTGCAGTCCAACCGAAGCCTATCAGAGTGATTACCACGACAACAATTACATCAGATCCTGCTAAACACACCCGAGTGTCTACCTCCACCTTTTCTAATAACACACCAAAGCTTGTGAAGCCTGGTGTTCTTCCTGCGACGACGACTACTATTACATTCGGTTCGAAGAGTCACAGAACCTCTACCAGATTGGTAACTCAAAGCCCTACAAGAACAAGCTTGCTTACGAGTCCCACAACAACGAATTTGCGTACTTGGTATTCCGGGACGCCATCTGAATTCCTGACAACCCCACCTTGGACAACTCCCAGTGCTGCACCTTGTACTAATGGCCCTCAACCCAGTTATACTTCAACCGTTACTGTAAGTTCATAAACCCACTTAGTCTAACAATGTGAAACTAATGTTGGTAAACCACAGTTCGATGATGTTCCGGTAACATGGTGGTATGGACTCCTGCCTACACCACACGCAGGGATGCAATTCAAAAATACGGTTGTTATGGATTCTCGTATCGTTGATTTGGACTGGGCAGATATGTCAATAAGCAAGCCAAAGTTTGCAGTCCATCCAGGTTTCCAATCGAACAATGCTAGCATGAGGGGATCCTTCGAAGATTCCGGCTTTATAGCCCTTGCGAATGGAGCAAGTTTTGACATTGTTTCTGTTTGGGTGCAATGTGACTGGCCTTGCGAGTTACACGTTTACGAAATGGGATTTAGTTCGACAGAGCGTGAACTACTCACCAACAAGTCAGTGGAGCCCGAAAGCCAAAATGGCCGGCTCACACTTCCAGGGGGTGTGGCCACCGACGGGATGAAGTTCGTTAATTTTGAGAAAACATACGGCCGTGGAGCAGGAAAGAAGCTTCGTTGGATGAGGTTCTGGGCCCGAGACTTGAGGGATGATCCGAAATGGTGGTTCAGCTCTACTGGAGAGGTTGCAGTTGGCTTTGACGATCTAGTGATCAGAAAACGGGTTACAGGGCCCGCTTGCGCTGAACCTAATCCTGATTGGGATTACAGTCAGTCCTATGATGTCGAAAGCAAGAAGTGAAAGCAATGTGACTAGTTGGCGTCCTGCGTTCGGTATTGACGCTCATGATGGCATCCCAAACTAAACCCCCCTCAATATATCTCTAGCTTGCACAAGAAAATAGCGCTTGTTATTGACACCTGATTTTACCTACTCTACTCATGGATCTGGCTTCTCCTTCCTAATCAAACTACTTTCAAATAAGTCCTCCTCTTGGTTATCCAAACCTTATGCCCCTCACGGAAAATATGCAGAGAGGATCACGAAAACCTATGGGATTACAAAGGATTATGAGCTTGGATTTCGTTATTTTAGTTCAGGAGAACTTGAGTTGGAAAAAAAAAAAAAAAAAAAAAATTTCAAAAGAAATAGGATTGACTGGACGAGGTTAGTAGGGTGGCGGAACCGTGGGATATGTAATTTCGTAGAAGTGTTTCTAGGTTAATGTGAATTAGATATACAGCTTCGGCTTGATATTGCCTGCTTAGCTTACCTTTTTCTTGAAAAAATTAGATGTTTTTTAGCTTGGTGACTTGTGTTTTTAATGATTAAGTAAACTTGCGGTGATCACCTTGATAGCATACTTTAGCATGTTAAAGGAATTCTGGTATTGACAACTCGATATGATGTAACTCTGGATGCAGCAGATAGTTACTTAGTGGGTTATTGTGCTGGTCGTTATCGAAAGGCAAAGGCTACACACTTGCCAGGATTCGGGCAGCAATTGAGTTATGGAAGAACGTCCAGAGGCACGTCTTTGTTTCCAGGTTCCAAAGGGCATATAGGGATGTTTTGGTAAGTACGCTCGCCTTGGCGAGACATGTATCGTGTATACGGTTCGCTGCGTTCTACCGATTTCCAAATCAGGTAGTGAAAAAAAAAAAGAAAAAAGAAGGAAAAAAGCTTACATAATCTTTTTTTTTTTTTTTTTTTTTTTGGCGTGTGTGTGTGTGTTGGGGGGAGGTGGGAAATGACAATACGAGAGTTTCCATCGAACATTTTTGAATACGCTCATTATCTTCAGCATCATCATGCATTACACGAAGTCAGTGTATCTTTACTTTATGACTTTGACTTGTTCCACCAGCGCCCTTCCGTCCAAGAAACAATCGACAAGGATGTGTATGAAGTAGTAATCTGCCTGTTCGGGACTGGTAACCCATGGAGCCATTATCCAACCTGTCCCCCAATATTCTGTGATAAAAGTTCCAGAATCCTATTGAGTCAACCTTCAAAGCTGGTGTGAATTTTCCCGTTATTAAATTGCTTGGATTTTCAGACTTCATAAAGGACTTGAGCATCAAGGTGGCGAGTTTTGAATCACTTTGATACAACTAAGTTGTTCTGTGCTAAGGGCATGGTCCGTGTTGTCACGAGGGGAGGGATTAGTGAGTATAACATTAAGGAAAACTACGATATTAGGAAACTGTGTTGCTGAGACTCTGTGAAGGCATTGGCTTGATAATCGCTACTACGCTGGGGCATACTGGTGCGGAAAAGGTGTACATTGTAGGAAAAAGGAAACTGGATAATGCTGCAAAAGCCAACAATAAGCATCCTCAATACCAAAACCTTTGTTTACTAGAAAGCCAGAAATTTGGCCGCAACGTCCTCATCGTGGGGGACGTCACATCCAAAACTTCCTTACAAGGTGTGGTAGAGCAGTCACGGCCGATACCGGATATATCAACCTTCTTGTTGCCAATTGGGGTATCACTGGTCCCATCCAGCAGGCTTCGGCCAGCGAGGCCTCCAACTATCCTGATATTGCCAGTGTTCGCAAATTCTTACGGGATAACCATGATGACAATCCCTGGAATTCCACTTTGAAAACAAATATTACTGGGGTATATCTCACGACTATCGCCTTCTTAGACTTGCTCGACGAGGGTAATAGGCGTGAAAGCGTGAAACAAACTAGCCAGATCGTAGCCATATCTTCGAATTCAGCTTTCCACAGATTCCTGGGGGCAGCCCTCTGCGTGCTCTGCAAGCAAGGCTGGAGTGACGCACTTGATGAACATGATGTCAATAATCCTTGGGAGCTATGATCTCCGAATTAATATAATTGCTCCAGGCATATATCCTAGCCAGATGACAGCTAGAGAAATTATTGATGAGAGGAACAGACCAGGGCATGGTTTGAAAGATAAAGTATATCCCGTCCACGTGATTCCTATGCAGAGAGCAGGGCGAGAGGAGATGGCTGGAATGATATGGCTTGCTGATGAGGGTGGGGGCTGTACAAGCGGATGTGTCGTACTCACATATGGCGGAAGAGTAAACATTCTACCAGGACGTTAGTCTGAAGGCCATGTAAGCTTAGCCTTGCGTCCATGTAAGCAAATGATCTAGGCTGGGAAAGTGAGCACTAACAAAAGAGGTCATTAGGAGTATTTCAATTAGTCTCGAGCCAGACGTTTTGTCAAGACGTTCTTATTCAAATATCAAGTGCTGCATCCACACTGTAACACTTGACATACAAGACCGTGCTTTGCAGTTCCATGCGTGCTCCCAAGTGGGATATAGTAGTAGATACCCTGGTAGTACTTACGTCTGGTCTGGTGCTGGATAGTCTCGTAATTCTGGCGGGTAGAGGTTGCGATTGCCGGTATGTCAAAATCTAGGTGCCGGGATATTAAAATTTTGTCGGACTGTTCTCGTTAGGAAGTTGAGTTGAGTTGCAGCAAAAAATGGAACATAAGAATATGTTTGTATGCAATTGGTATATCTGCTTCCTTGGCTCAGTTGGTAGAGCGTCGGTCTCATATCAAGTATATGACACTGCCTTAGGCAAGTGCAATCCGAAGATCGTGAGTTCGATCCTCACAGGGAGCATATTCCCTTTTATTTTTTTAAATTCTGACACTTCAGAATGACCTGTACCTGGGTATGTAGTAGATGACTTCCCGTTGGCCCAGACCCAGTCCCAATTCCCGTCGCAACCATAAAATCCACATTTTGTAAACGTCCAGATTCTCAGACTTGTCGGCTAACAACTTCGCGCTTCACCTAGTGATATTGCGATAGAAATTTACTTCCAAAGAAGCAAATTTGAATGCTACATTTTGCAACCCTTTGGCGGGCACAGGCTCTGCCTAGTTGTACTAGATTTGCAGTAAAGCTCCCCAGGTTAAAGTAAAACTGCTTTTGTGGTTGTTGCGTAAACTAACTGAAAAGCTTTATGCTCAATTTCTGCATGAGTTGAGGCGTTGCAGTAGAAAACAATTTGCGATATGCAAAAATTTTGGTGTTGGCAGCATTAATTTTCTTTTATGCTATGTTACCTAACCCCTTTTTTCACCGATTTCCAAAAATTCTGGGTCTGGCCGACGGGAAGTCATCCAGTACGTCCTATGACTTAGAATTATTGAAATTAGCGATCTCGCAACTATTTGGTGCATACAAGATTCACAATGACTGTATTTAGTTTCTACAACCTTATTGTGAAGTTTAAACATGCAAATTATATATACATTATATATAACAATGACCTAGTCGGCGTGTTCGCAGATTCTCTACTGGAAGTTGCCTTCTTTGCAAGCCTATGTTAAGTCTGAGAGCATGAAGTCAAGCCCAATTATTGGGAAAGTTAACCACGAGACTATGGAAAAGTATTCTTTAATGTCGAGTACTATATATATATATAGAAATTACATTACAGCGACTTATGAACCGCACCCGGGGGTCCTACCCCTAAGCTCCACGTTCATGGCGTGCATACCCGTTGTAGTCGTCTTGTCGTGGCTGATGTGGCTTCTCACAGTCATGGGTGTTCTTCATGGGGTAAATGTAATTGGTATCAGCAGGAGAGAACGCTAAAAGTACAGTGACCCGTCAAAAGTCTTGGGGATTAGGCTTGCATGATACACTTATACGGGTCACTGTAGCACTGCTTAATTGTGCACAAAAAAGTATACGTATTCACCTGAGGCTGAGCAGAAATTCTCACATCTACTGAAGAAACTCAAGGACTTATAAGGGTATGATGGATATGCTGCTTTGCGAGTTTCAGTTTGAACTGATTAGAGCTGCATAAGTGGTTACATTGTATAGCACCCCTGTCCAAAAATGGCACTACCTAAACATGTGATAAGTCAATGTAGTCTGGTTAGGCGCAACGACCCTTGTGAGGGCTACTTGAAGAAGTACATACTAACTCAACTTCTTCAATCACCTTCACCGTAAGTCTCATATATCCCTCCCTACGGTAGGGGATTGTGCCGTCCACTATCTCGTATCCAATGTCCCAGTATCCAGACTTGCCAGATTACCAGAGTTGGTGCAGAAGCATCAATCTAACACTTTACCTCGCCTTCGGCTTCGACCTGCGTTACACAGATGAATCCGAGAATCTGATAGATTGTTGCACCCACCACCAATCATGCGCAGTCATTGAAGATGGCTGCGGATACCTGTGTTTCCCAGCGCGAAACGGACCACCCGATGTTACCTTTTCCTAATCTGTTCTTCCTGGTTTATCCGCTTGCGAGGCTTTGGCAGGGTACGAGATGAAGTTTTTTTGAATTTCAACAAAGAGTTTGGGCAAGAGGAATTCTCTTCCCACAAGTTATCTCCTACCACTTCGCATATGCTTATGCCTGTGCAAGGCATGGATGAGTTTCATCTCATTCTTTTCTTGAACCTAGAAGTATATATTATTACCCATTCAAAGCTTTCTACACTTCATTATAGGGTGGTTATTGAGATATGGAGTTGTGCAAGATCACTGGGCGTAACATGAGTTGACGCATGCATCGTCCTATGAAGGATCAAACTTTTCAACTAACGAGCATGCCATTTCCTCAATATATTCTTTATCTCCGAAATCTTGCAACTCGCTTCGAAATTTCGGGCAAGGGTGGTATCGAACGACGACACTACTCAAAAAATACCAATCAAAAGGGCTGTTACAGAATACAGGTACCAAAGATCGAGCTATTGGCCACCAACTGATGCTCTTGCTTGTATTAATTTTCTCGAATCCCCCCGCCCGGCTGTATATGTATAATGCCTTGTATCGATCAAAAATCAGTACGCGCATTTTGAAACTTATGTGCAAGTCAGGGAAGAAGGTAGAGAGCTCCGTGATACCAGTACGCTATGCATATTGCGGCAAAGCGGCTGCTGCCGGATATGCCCCACATTCCGGGGCAGCATCAAGCTAGGGCTACAGGGTTAGCCGATACATGCCCGACACTTGCGTAAAGTACTTAAGGAGGCACTTGCTGATCACATTTCTGAGGTTGAGAACGAGAACAACTTGCAACTCATTCCCCAGCTTTGCATCTTTCTCTGGCCTCTCTCGACTGATAACCCAGTTGTACTGTATCATCTTGCTCGGCAATTGGCAGGCCCTCAATACCACTTCAGCCATGCCGCTCCTTGCGTATCTCGCTCACAGACGAGATTGGTAACTCTCACATACCAGTATCGGTGTTCATGTTGTACTTACCGTTATCTGTAGTAAGGCGAAGCAATTGGCACGTCAACAAATAATTGCCTCTCTGCCAGCTGAATATCATGGCCCCATCACACCGCACCAAGCTCGTATCCTGAATACTCCACTCCCGCTTCTCCTGCCGAGCATTAAATCCCAGGAGATACACCCTCTCAATGTCCTGACCGCATATGGGAAGCGGGCAATACAAGCCCATGGCAAAACGAATTGTCTTACCGAGATTATGATTGCAGAGGAAGAGAAGCGATTGGAGAAGCAAGGTGTTGAGGCCACAGTACGCCAAGGGCAAGGTTCTTTGGAGGGGATTCCTGTAAGTCTGAAGGATACAGTGAGTGTTGCGGGGTACGAAAGTTGCATTGGATACTCCGGTCTTCTGGGTATCAAAAAGTCGGAGGATGCACCATTGGTGAAATTGTTGAGGGATGCAGGTGAGTACCAATTGGTAGAATAATACCAAACCTTTTAGCATGGGGTTGCTGATCTTTTTAGGCGCAATACCGTTCGTCAAAACAAATGTACCAGTGACACTTCTGAGCTTCGAGAGTTTCAATGATGTAAGTGTGCTGCTGCTGCAGGGTCATTGTTTCCTCGCTCATATGAATATATAATTCAAGGTGTTCGGAAGAACGACGAATCCTTACAACACAGCCTACTCTCCTGGTGGGTCTACTGGAGGTGAATCTGCGCTTATTGCATTGGGCGGTAGTCGAATTGGAGTGGGTATGTGTTGCTAATGGGCCGATTACTGTTCTTTGCTTCTCGTATCATTGGTAGTTGACGTCGCTCATTCAAAAAAAGGCACCGATGTTGCAGGGTCAGTTCGTATACCCGCACATTATAGCGGGATATACTCAATTCGCTGCTCTCATGGACGGTTTCCACGCTCGTATAATACAACTTCTATGCCAGGTCAGGAGGGTGTAGTATCGGTTTATTCACCAATGGCACGCAGCCTACCAGACTTACTTTACTTCCTCCGAAGTGTCATTGAAATGAAACCCTGGACTTATGATCAAGGATGTAGCCCAATACCCTGGCGGATGAAGGAAGTTGAGGATGAATATAGGGCAGGAGTCCGACGATGGGCAGTAATGCGAGATGATGGCGTTGTCAATCCGACTCTCGCTTGCCAAAGAGCTCTTGATATAACAATTGATGCTCTGCGAAAATTAGGAGACGAGGTCATTGAATTTTCGCCAGACCAGTTACCGACACATCCAAAGGACATGCTACGCTTAGCTTCTCACCTACTCAACTCTGATGGAGGCAAAACATATGAATCATTGTTCAGAAGCATTTTCGAAAGTGGAGACCCTGGTGTCGTCCAGATGTCCCGATTCTTTGCACTGCCAAGATGGGTTAAATGGATTTATGTCAAGTGGGTGAGATATGTGCGGCGAGATAGAATCTGGGCGGACTTGATTGAGGGATGGAGCGAGAAGACAGTGGAACAGCAATGGCAGTTAGTGAGACACAGGGAAGCACACCGAAACGCATGGTTTGAGTGGTTTAAGCAGCAGGTCTGTTATCAACAATCTACGAAGCTTGGGGGACGCGCATTGAACAATTACTTTTTAGAAAATCGATTTCTTGCTTACCCCCCCTAATTCACTGCCAGCGGTTCCACACGGGGCAATGAAAACTGCAATTGCAGCATGCGGGTATACATTCATTTTTAACTTGGTATATCTCCGTTTTGGGATTTATTCCTCCTTTGCACAAGTTCAATTATCTCTAACGCCCTTGAGTAGCTCGATCTGCCGTGCTCTGTCATCCCTGTAGCAACTGTCACTCCGGAACTGGATACTCCTTCTGCTTTAACCCCATGGACGCCATCCAGGAACCGTGTGGCACAGGGAATCTACAAATACTACGATACTGCAAAAATGGCAGGTCTCCCAGTTGGAGTACAAATTGTTGGTCCCCGTCGTCTTGAGGAAGAACGGGTTCTTTGGGCAACTGGCAGAGTAGAAGAATCCTTAGGAAGGGGAAACTGGGAAAGCTGGGGATGTGGTGAACTAGGCAGGGTTAATCCAGCTGGAAATGGTTTGAGCGGAGGTCGGGGATGGGAAGGAGGAATTGAGGTCCTGGCAGAAGTTGAGGACGAGGAGTCTGAGTAATCCTAGGTTGTGTTCGAGTGATACTGTACTTTGGCTTTTTGATAGTGACCGTAAAGCTTGGTAGCGAGCCCTATGATTTCAGGAAACTGTTTCAAATATATGCAGCATCAATCGAAGTAATTATTAACCTTAAAAATTTTGCCATGGCTGTCCCTCACTTATGTATTATAGTGCACGGTGACTCTGTCTGGTTTATGGGGCTGTGTATTACCCCGAATGAAATGTACCACGTTACGGAGTTTATAGGCTCTTGGCAC